AGAGTGATGCTGCTCATGGCTGAGGTAGGATCAGCCACCACAGCCTGCTGTTCCCTCCCCACAGCTTCTGTGCAGAAGATACAGACCAGCCCCATCCTTTGCTGCAGGCCCTGGAATGCTTTTCTTGTCAGGGATTCTGCCTCCTTCTCTTGACCACATTCATGGAGTCCCATGTGCATGGCAGAGCCCACAGTGACACAGGGGTTCATGGTGTAGGTCCATATGTATTGTTTATCACCAAGTACAGGTTTCTGGCACACAGATGGGTACTTCTCTGTTATTCTCATTGCACTGCTTCTTTGTTCAGTTCTTCATTGCTATTGCTCAGCAACAGCCTTTTCATGCCAGGTAGTTGATGTAGGAACTGGAATCTGTTGAGACTGCCCCTTGCACAAGTGAATGTTTTGCCTTTTCTTTGTTTTAAAACTAGTGGTTCTCTTCTTTAACCACAGTGCCTTCTGCTCTTCAAAAAAACCTTTTTATGCTTCACCAGAGGGGACCCTTGTGGCTGCCTCCAAGTGACCACTAGCACATGGGGATGGGTGATGCTTCCTGGACCTTTGCATGCAAGAAGCATTTCACCAGAGTGCCAGGGGCTGGGCTGGTGTTTGATTGATTTCTTTCCTCTTGACTTTCCTGTTGATTGCTTTCCTTTGCAAAGAAATTCCTTTTCTTCCTCAATCTGTCAGAAACCAGGTGCTGCTGAGTTTGATGCCATTGCTAGTGGGGCTGCTATTCAGATCCTGAGATGACCCAGCCATCTTCTCCTGGAGTGTCTGTCCTTCGGGACAGTACAGCACAGCTGAGATGATCTTTGTCACTTGGCTTGGGAGCTGTGCAGCTCTTTGGGAGGTCAGGACCCTCTTGGGTAAAGTGCCAATGCTTGGCATCTGTAGCAAAACGTTGAGGAAAAAAAGAATTTTGGAAGGAATTAGTTTCTAGTCCAGAATTTGTGATTTGCTTATTCTTTGTTTTATCTATTTGTGTCTCTTTTCTCACCTGTCTTACCACAGGTTCCTTCTGTCCTGCCCCAAACCTCCTTGTGTTCTCTAGTGGTGTGGCCCTTGCTGCTGCCTCTGTGACCACTGGCACAGGGGTATGAGTGACATTTCCTGGAACTTTGCACACAAAGGCTTTCCTGTTGATTATCTTTCTGTGTAAGGTTTTTTGTTTAATTTCTTTTTTTTTTTTTAACCCTTTGCCAAGAAGCCTCTTGATTCCTGGGTCTGTCAGAATACAGGTGCTGCTGTTTGTGCTGTTACTGACAGCTGAGTTATGGAAAATGGTTTAGGAACTGTGTTTGTATCACTGGGCATCAAAGAGTGGTGGAGAGTGGGGAAAGCTGCTGCTGGGCTGCTGAGACGTGTGAGGGTCACTGGTGCTGTGTGAGCTGTGCCCTGCAGAGTGTGGGTTGGAGCATCAGTGTGAAGATGTGTTGAGGGAGGCAGGAGCCATCCCAGAGCCTCCCGAGTTTGGCACTGGGCTTAAAAGTGATCAGGTGTGTTCTGAAATAAAAAACAACAAACAACACCTCTGAAGCAAATAAAAACACCCAAAGCAAACAGATCCTGCTTCTATTTCTTCATCTGCTGGAAGAGGATTTGGGTGTGGGGGTCAGTACCAGAGCAGGAGCGTGCTGCACTTCTGCCTGGGCTACAGGAACACGGTGTGATGTGTAATGTGACAAAGTGGATATGAGAATATGAGCAAAGATCTATAACTTTTTGGCAGAAACACTTTAAGTTTATAGCTTTTTAAGTGAAAATTTTTAGCTCACACTAACTCAATAAGAGACCACCCAATAATTAAATTGATCTCATAGCCTCAATGTTGGGGCTTTTCTATTACTTTTTTCTTCATAGTGTGTAGTTCTGTGGAGTTGTCATTCAGTATTTGCCTGCTGTTGTTTAGATACACTTATCTAGTCCCAATTTTTTTTTGTGGCTCTTTTTTTAATTCTTGCAAACAAGTACATTTGGAACATCTTTTGTTTTTCTCTGATTTTCTCTCCTTCCCATCTTGTTTACGGAAGGGGAGACTATCAAAGGGTTTTTTCTACTCATTTTTTTTGCCAGGTTTTTATCAGCCCCGTGACAAGAATTCCAGAGTACCCACAGACTCTTTATCTCAGGCACCTTCTTGGCAGTTTCCTGGGATGTGGGAGTGTTACTGGGCCCATCAGCAAGTCCCTGGGAAGATGCCTTTAGATGATTTTAGGCTTTGGTAAGCTGGAAGCTAAAGTCTGCACCCTAAAGCTCAAGATGGAGTATAAATCACTGGCTTTTCCTTTAGCCAAGACTTTTACAACCCTTTGTTTATTATCTTCCCAAAGGATTTTAGCTTTTCTGAGACTAGGAACGGAAGAAAGAAAGAAATAATGGTCATGAATCTGACTAGAATAATTTTATTTTATATCTCAGTTCTTAAATCGCAATTACACTAAGGAAATATTTACATGAAATACAGATCTGAAAAAACAGAATTTACAGTTGTCTATAATATGTCCCCAAAATGTCAACTTGTTAAATGTCCTGCTTAACCAAAACAAGTGACAAAGATTTATTTTTTTCAATCATTCAGGTATTGCCCTCAGAAAGAAGAAAGCAAATCCCACTTTCCTTACTCAGGCCAAACTGCAGAAACAGGTGGATCAGGGGTAGCAGCAGAACAAGGATAGTGTGAGGGGAACAGTGAACCTTAGCCCCCAGGACTGTAAAAACCTCAAAAGTGAAGCCCTTTAGTCCATATTTAGCTTCTCAATGCAGTTTTGTATTCAAATACATGAAACAATAAAAGCTCTAGGAGAGAGGCACCACAAGAAGATGATGTGTTGAGTGAGGAGAATTATTTCTAAGGCTTTGTGTAGCAAATTCCACCTCTGGCTGCATTTTGGGAGGAAATGGCACACAGCCTTGAGCAAAGGTCCAGCTCATATCCTTATTTCTCATCAGCTTCTCACTGAGGCACGTCCTGGTTCCTGTGCCTGAGCCCATCCCTGGGAGCAGAGGGGGCCTTTGGCATTGCCAGAGAAGCTCAGGCTTGGGAAGGAGCTGTGCTTTACCCTGCAGCTCACAGGGAAGTGCTGCTGGCTGTGTGTCTGTGCTCCCTCTGTCCCTTCAGACCTGTCAGGGCAGAGTGGCTGAGGTGCAGTGGCATTGTGGATAACGTAGGAGACGGATTTTGGTGCTGGCAGCTGCCAGGAGAGGATCCAGGAGGCAGAAGGAGCAGATGCTGGTCTGTGTTAGTTTGGTGTCCTGGGTTTTGTGGGGGGATTCCCGTGTGCAGGTCTGCAGAGAGGGAGAAGAGGGTTTGGTTTACTCAGATGGGAGAGAAAAGAAGGAAATCAAGGCTCCTTTAGCCTTGGGCTGCAGCCAGGGACCTCCCAGAGGAGGCTGCAAAGTGTTCCTAAATCCTGTTTGTGCAAGTGAAAGACCTGCCACCATTTCAAGTACTGACAGACAGCAGAAGATTGTCTCAAGATACACTGATGGTCAAATCTAATATTAATTAAAAAATAAAGTGGACTTTTAAAATTTACCTCTGACTCCTGTCCTTTCATTAAGCCTTTCTCTACATTCAGAAAAGAATGAAGATAGAATAGTTCAGACTTTGTGGTTGATTTTTTTAAAGTTAGAGTGTTACCGTTTCAGAGAGACTTTTTCCTGTTGGAATGTGTTGCCTGCAGAGAAGTTAGAAAGGATTGACTTTCCAGACAGCCATCATGCACCCAAAATGATAGAAATGACTGGTTTCCATCAATTTAGAGTTTTGTGCTGATCTAATGAGTTGGGGATTTGGCACCCCCTTTCAGGGAAGATTAATCTGTGGTGGAAAATGAATCCTGCTGCCAGCAGGGATGGCAAGCCAGATCCTGGGGTGCTCTTTAAGGGAGTGAATTGCACTGTCAACTTCCAAAGAGCTTCCTTTCACTAAGCAGGAGCTGCTCAGAGCAGCAGGAATTTCCTCTCTAAATCAAATCTGAAATGTGGTACAATAGCTAAAACCAGAGCTCTGTCAAGTTTAGGGCTGCTGAAGGAGAACCATCCTTGAGGAGGTGATTTTCTGAGCCCTTTGTATTACAACCATTGCATCAGGGCAGAGTGGGAGAGCTCTGCAGGGTGTTTTCTTCCCCACAGAGACAGAACATCCTTGCACAGAGCTGGCAGCAGGGGTTGAGATAAGTGAAAAATGCAAACATTCTCCTAAGCAAGGCTGCATGAAGAGCTCTTCCTTATCATTTCTCCCCGGGAAAGGCAGACGAGGATCAGGAAAGCACTGGGTGTAATAAATATCCCCTGTGAAAATGACAGTCTGTTCCATTTTACAGACAATTTGGAAAAAAATGCAACCTGCCCTTAAAAGAAAAATAAATTTGTAGGGATCCATTTCCTACTACTGTTGGGGAGGGACTGTATAAATTTGGAGAATTAAATGGCAATTACCTCTTGTACTAGAAAACCCATGGATGTATAACAAGGAACAGGAATTTCCCTGATTTAAAACATGCTTTGATTGGCAATGAATGAGGCTCCAGAGGTGTGAACATGCTGTTTCAAAGTTTCTTGGCAACCCAACTGTTCCAAGCACTAGCCCAGCCCTGGTTGCCCTTGAGCAGTAATGGGGACTTCTTGGTTTCTCTCTTGCCACAAGCCCCGGGGTGCACAAAGCTTGCAGAAGTGGTTTCCTGCAGAGCAGGAGAGGTGAGCAAACCAGCTGCAGGGAGGTCCATTTGCAGAAGCAAAATGTGTGTGGGCAAAAAGCATTTTCTCTTCCAAACCAGGAAATTGCAATTCTCAGTCTGGTTGTGTTTTCCTGGTGACTCAGGGTGAGGGGTGGGCTGGGGAGGCAGGAGGGAAAGCATAAAGAAAAGGTTCCTGTGTGCCCTGGAAACTGGGTTACCCCTCAATCCATTCCTATCTGCACTGATGTTTCTCAGGAGAGTCATGAGAGGCTGCAGAGCCTCACTGCTACTGTTCCTTAGTGACTTTTGGGGAAACAGAGGCAGGAAGCCTGGTGCTGCTGGTCCAAAATGGTGCAGAGGGGAATTTGGGATGCAGGAACTTACATGTAATCCATGGGGACATGTGAATATGCAGTAATGAAATCTAATGAATAGTTTAGGGAGGGGAGGAGATGAAATATGGTCACTCCCAAGTTCAGGTTGGGAATGGTGCATTGGAAGCACAGAAATGTGGTCAGTAATGAGCACTGGGTGATGCACTGAGTTTTTGGGCTGCCACAAACACGTCCTGTCTTTCTGTTTTGTATCTGCTGCAGGGTCAGAGCTCAATGATTCAAATGACTTAATAGCTGAAAAACCAAACAAAAAGCCCAAACAGACAAAAAGCCTCAAACAAAACCAAAAATAGAGGACAAGAGAACCTTCTGTTCTGTTCTAGCCCTTAAGTCATTGCTCAGGCTCCTCCCAACCACCTTCTGTCAGATGAAGAATTTTTAGGTTGTGTTTTGGCACCTGCCTCCTTTATCTCTTGAGGGTGAGATGTTGCCAAGTTGAAGAGAAAAATGCCAATGCCTGCCACTCACCTCTTACACCTGCATCTTCGTCTTCTGGTTTCTAAGAAGAGAGAGAAAATGTTTTAGTTCAAAGATACCAAGTGACAGCTTAGGAAAGAAACACTCTAGTGAGGTAGGGCTGGTGTTCCCCTGCAGCTGGTATCTTTAATAATGGATAAACCAAGCCTACTTTTGAGAAAATCCATGCCAGGGGGTGGTGCTGCAGTTCATGTTACCCCTGTAATCCACTTAAATATTTTCATGAATTAGTCTTTAAGGTGAGTAGAAGCAGCAGGGTCAGCCTGGGAACACTGAGGGTGAAATATTTCTGTTTGCTGCTCCAGCGACTTAGGCATGTTGCTGAAAATCCCTCAGCAGCAATTATTTCTGCAGCAGGTGAGTGGCAGTGATGCCACGTCTCATTCAACCAAGGTAACAATGCTCTTCCCCATTTTAGCCTCTACTTTGGGGTCGATTCAGCAAAATAAAATTCCCAGCCATTAATTTTAGACCAAGGTAAAAAGCCATCCTGAAGGGCTTGGAAATTGCTGCGGAAATTACCTGCAGCTGAGGACTTTTCACTGTTCATAATGTAATGAAGTTTCTCATCTGGTTCCAGCTCGAGCTGCTACTGGGATTCAGCATTTGCTGGAACATATTTACTCTGTAAGGTCAGAATATTTCAGGGTCTGGGACTTTAACCTCTGACACACATATTTATGACCAAGACGATAGAGTAAGTACTGTCTCTTTCTAATCTATTTTTCTTCCTTGAAAGACTTTTCCAACATAAATAATTTTCTGATTGTGTGATTCTAAATTGATAATCTTTCCTCATCCTAATCCTACTGAGGAGGATTAAAATACAGACAGCGATTTTAACAGTGGTCCTTTTGCATTGGCCATGTCCTGGTTATCCCATGCCTCCCAAAGCAGCAGAAGATCCATCTTCCCGAGGGGCAGGCTGGGGTCTCAGGGCAGAGGTGCACTAGAGGGGTTTGTGGTGAGCCTTACGTCGGCACAGCACGAGGGTGATCACCAGGGCAATGAGGAGCAGGACACAGGCACCTGCTAAGGGGACCCAGATGAAGATGTGACAGGAGAAATTCAGAACTTCCTTCATTCTTCTCTCTGCAGGTAAAGAGAAGATAAAATGTCCACCAGGTGCTCACGGCCAGTGTTATAAACAGTTCTGGTGTAACCATTTTCCTGGGGAATTGAGGGAGGCTCTGTGGGCAAAAGTTTTCTAAAAGCAGCCCCAGCCCCCAAGGCTCTACCCTCCCTCCCCATGTTCCTGGTGTGCCCAGGCATGCTCATGCTTTTTATGTCATATTTAGCCTTTCTTAGGTTGAATGAAATATTGGAATTTAATACTTGCATCTGTAATTAAGAAGCTCTGTGGATCTTTTCTCTCCCTCCCAATCCCAAAATGCCTGCAGGATCTCCCTTGGTAT